AGGTTAGCAGTCTGACTCGTAACCACTATGCTACCAGAGCTCCTTGCAGCGGCACACTGTTGTGTTGTTGTTAAGTGCCATCGTGTCAGTTCTGACCCGTAGAAACCCTGGATAGGCTTTCTGAGGAGCAAGTGGTAAGCTTTATCAACCAACCTTGCAATTCAAATGGCTTTGCAATCTGGTGCATTAACCCACAGCACCACACCAGTATTCCCACTAGGACTCCTATAAAGTATTCATTCCCTGACTGGAAAACAAACTTGGGCCGTGGTGGTGAACTTGGGCCAAATCCTAACCACTAGACTGCCAGGGGTCCATATATTTGGATATGAGGATTTTTGTTTTCTTTAATTGCGAGGCAACCCATACCAAAGGCTGTGGTCTTTGATTTTCATCAGTAAGCATTTAAAGTCCTCTTCCCCTTCAGCAAGCAAGGTTATATTATCTGCATATCGCAGGTTGTTAATAAGTCTTCCTCCAATCCTGATGTCACGTTTTTCTTATAATCTAGATTCTCGGATTATTTGCTTAATATACAATTGAATGAATATGATGAAAGGATACATCCCAGGTGCACACCTTTCCTAATTGTAAGCTAATCAGTGTCCCATCTGTTCAGACAACTGCCAGTTGTTCTATATATGGATTCCTCCTGAGCACAATTAAGTGTTCTGGAATACTCATTCTCCACAATGCTGTCCACAGCTTGTCATGATCCACACCATCGAAAGCCTTTGCATAGTCAGTAAAGCACAGGTAAACATCTTTCTGGTATTCTATGCTTTCACCTATAAAATATTCTCAACAAAATATTTTAAACATTTAAGCAAACCTCAAAATATGGGTCTCCTGGGAAAAGGCAGGGAGGAAACTGTTCTAGATGTTTGTTGTCAAGTGCCATCAAGTTGGTTCCAACTCATGGCGAGTGACTGGTGATTTTGAACCACCTACCTTGCGGTTTGTGCTTTATCCCACAGCGCCACACCAGGACTCCCTGCTAGATTAGCAGAGACTAAAGATGCTGTAGGATAAGTCCTAGACTGCTAACTGCAATGTTGGCAATTTATCCCCACCATCCACTCTTCAGAAACCCTGTACAGGAAAGCTGCGACAGCACCTGACAACAAAAGAACAGTAGGATAAGTATTGAACTGCTAACTGCAAGAGTGGTTCAAACTCACCAGCCACTCCTTGGAAACCCTATGCAAGGTCGCTGTGAGTCAGAACCGACTCAAGGGCACTTAAGAACAAAGAGACCTAACAACCAAATATATTTTGTGAGCAGACCTGGGTAGGAAAGGTGGGAGAGGCTGTCAAGACCATGAAAGATATTCTTAGGGAAGTTTGAATCCAGACTGGGTACTGGATGATAAATTATTAATGATAGTCTTGACCGGTGATGTTATCCTTCTATAAGAAAATATTATTATTCTTAGAAGATAAAAATCTCAAGGATTTATGTTTGAATTTCATAAGTTGCAGAATCTTTTGAAAGTCTGTATGTATGTATGTATTTGTATAAATATAGAGAAAACTAATTTGGAAAGTTGAAAAGCTTCCATCTAGGTGGAGGGTACATAAGTGTTCGTTATCCTGTTCTTTAAAATTTTTTGTCTATTAAAAATAATAATAAAGTTGGAAAAATAAATTAGCACAACAGTAGTGGTGGGAAACACTGATATGTTACCAGTAGGATTATGACTATTAATTCCATTCTTAGTTTGCTGAAGAAACATTTCTGGCTTCCCACCGCTGCCTCTCTGTTTTCATACTGTAAAAGCTGCAAATGTTATTGCCATTTCCCCTCCTGCCTTCTCCCTACCCCACTCCCCACCCCCCCCAGGAGGGTGTCAGTGTCTAGGAACATGCCGAGAACCTTTTGAAAAAAGATAAACACGAGAGGGAAGCAGAACAGCCATGAGATGCTTCCAGTCAGTACCAGCAACAGGGAAGCTGGTAGAGGAAAGGTTTCCTCTGTTTTAAAAACCTTTGCTAGTCTCTTGATTCTTTTCTTCACCACCAAAATAAGTGCATATTGGGTTAAAAGTCTTTACCTTGGTCCTGGATTAATCTTTTCAATAAAACGAGCTTTGCTGACTACAGAAATCACATGAGCATGCAGTAGGAAATCCTATCTAGAAGAGCAGATGAGTGTTTTTTGGAAGGCAGTTGTGCTTTTGACTAAGGTATTTAGAATGAAAGTTTTAACACTTTAAAAAGCTGCTTTGGACGTACAAAGATACTTGTTCATCAAGTTACAAAGGTGTGTTAACCAAGGTGCAGTACTGACAGTCCCCTGATTAAGAATGACAACTCCTACTTGCCCTTTAATTTTATATAAATTGACCCTCACTTTGAAAGGATTGTTAAGTACCTTGGAGTTGGTTCCAACTAAGTTTCAACTCATATCAACTCTGTGTAAGGTTTCTGAGGAGTGGCTGGTGAGGTTGAACTGCCGACCTTGTGGTTGGCAGTATGGTAGTTGTCTTACAGTACCACACCGGGACCCTATTCACAGCAAATTCTTTATCATGGTCACCTTTCACTGGCTGCCAGTCCATCTTTTAAATCACTGAAAAAACTTCAAGATTTTTCTTGCATAAAAATGAGAAACCAAACCTATAGCCATTAAGTTAATTCCTACTTAAATGATCCTATAGGGCATAGTAGAACTGCCCAGTAGGGTTTCCAAAGCCAACTGCCACATCTTTCTTCAAGGAGCAGCTGAACGATTTGGACCACTGACATTTAGGTTAGCAGCCAAGCACTTTAACCACTGCACTTTATGTACTTGTTTCAACTCAACTTACAAATACTTAACAATGTAATGTTGTTAAGTGCCGTCGAGTCGGTTCCGACGCATAGTGACCCTGAACAAGGTTTCTGAGGCTAACAATGTAATACACAGAAATGGATCTCATAACAGGGACTACCTGTATATGAGATTTAGCATGAGTTTTTGCCGTTACTTTTTGAAGCTTGAGTGGTTGGTTTCTCTTACAGCAGGAAGAATTTTGAAAGGGTCATGTATCTACTTGTTAAGTGTCTACGAGCGGCCCTGTATAGGGTTCCCAAGGAGCAGCTGGTGAGCTTGAACCACTGACCTTGCAGTTCAAGTGATTTTGCAGCCTGATGCATTAGCCCACAGCGCCACACCAGGACTCATGTCATGGGTCATGTATCTGCTAGTATTTGTTAAATCACCACCACCACCATGTGGGAGGCCCTGGTCTATGTGTTGGGTTTTGAAGATCTTTCCCTTCCATGTCTTTAGGATCTGCCCTTATTAGACTTATTAAACAAATTGTAGTCTCTGCCCTTTCCGTATTTCAGTCAGCTAAAGAAATAAACTTGCCCAATGTTGAGCCTGGGTGGGTTTTTAAATGGAAGTATAACAAAATATAAGGAGCCCTGGTAACGTAATGAATTACGAGCTGAGCTGCTAACCTCAAGGTCAGCAATTCGAAATTACCAGCTATAGTTTCTCCATGGGAGAAAGATAAGCCTTTCTGCACCCGTAAAGATTTTTACAGCCTTGGAAACCCTAATCAGGGTTGCTATGAGTCAGGACCGACTCCACGGCACACTACCACCACCACCACCACAACAAATATAAGGAGCCCTGGTAGTGTAATGAATTATGAGCTTGGCAGCTAACCGCAAGGCCAGCAGTTCAAATCTACCAACCTCTCTGCCGGAGAAAGATGAGGTTTTCTGCTCCCATAAAGATTGACAGCCTTGGAAACCTTATACAGGGTTGCTTTGAGTCGGAATGACTCAGTGGCTCACCTTCCCCACCACCATAGACAGATACTGGCTATATTCTCTGCTTGTGTTTTGGTATGATTCATGCTAGACAGCAAGCTGAAAACACAAATCTCTGCTGTGATTACTGCATCATTGTGTGTGGATTCTACTAATTCTGCATACTAGCTGCCTATGCCTAGGCTATACATTTAAGCCTGAATTTTAGCCTGCTCTGCTAACTTCGAGAGTACACGTGACAGAGGAGAGGAAGCGTTTGCAGCTGTAACTAATGAGCACTTTACTGTAAATGGCTTGAAAGTGGTTATAGGTATGTTGCTAGCCTCAGGAAAGAAGATTTTAACTTGCACTAGATTACATTCCCATAGATATTTGCTGTAGATTTGGCTTCCTGGATTTCCCACAGGAGCCTTTTCATATTTGATCAGATTGTAATGATACCTCAATTTAGAGTCTCATCCTGTTTATTTCAGGAGGCTGAAGTTTTTCTTACACTTTGACGAAAGGATTTATTAGAGTTTACACAGTTTAAGAGAGAGGTTTAATACCATTTAATAGAAGAGAGTATTTCCATGCACTTTAGTAGCATTAATTAATTTTTTCACAATATTAGGTATAAGCTATTGGCCATTTTTTGAAGCTAGTTTTTGAAACATTCTTCAAACAATTCTCTAATTCTGGGGTTTTTTTTCATTTAAGGAAATTTTTAATCCAGAAATAAGTCCTAATTAGTCTGAATTTATTTTGGTATGTGTTTTATGTTTTCAGTATCCTTTTTCATCCGTATACTCTGTATTGTGAAGTATAGACATATGGGTGGGCTCTAAGACCATTGCCAGCTTCAGGGTGAGAATATTCTGAAGCAATCAGAAACACTTCAAGGTTATGTTTGTTTTTTGGTAGAGATGGGAAGAAGGGTAAAGAGTTTTACCATGTAACATGACAAAGGATTATGAAGTTGGACAAATGCTAAAAAGAAGTTGGGTCTTAACTACAATGGACCCCTTTCCCACCCCTTCCAAAAATCAATTCTGCAAAAACAATTAGGAAAATTGGTATTTGGGAAGAAGTCAGAGCAGCCTCTACTCTCCCTCATTTTGTTGGGAGAGCTGCTGGCTTAGTGGGAGCCACGTGGTAATGGTAGCTTTTTGGGAAGACAGTGGATGACCTTTTAAAAGGGAACGTTTCATAGTTTTTCTTGTTAGAAGTTTTCAACTTTTATGTTCTGCTTATAGCAAATCCAGTTTGCTGATGACATGCAGGAGTTCACCAAATTTCCCACCAAGACTGGCCGAAGATCTTTGTCTCGCTCCATCTCACAGTCCTCCACTGACAGCTACAGTTCAGGTAGGTGTAAGCAACCTGCCCTCTCAGATCTCTCTTCCATGTTCCAGAGACTTGAGCTAGTCACTACCCAATATTCTTCACTTACCTGAAATCTGAAAGTTCCTCTTCTCTGGGGACTACCCATTTTTGTACTGAAAGCTGATATGTCCCCAACCAGACTTGTAGCTGGGGAAGCAAGCTTTTGTCATTTTGAGACTTTCTTCCCCTGGCTGTGTATAGTCTGTGACCAATCTCTGGCTGGTAGTGCTGGTCCAGTTCCCATTCCCACATTTATCCCTCTCTGCCACACAGGGAGAAAATCAATGGTATTTTGGCTGACAGAACTGGCCTTGAAAAAGAAAGACACTTTGAAAGTGTAATTTATTTAAAATATTCCCTGCCACCTATCTTTCTTTCTTGCCCTGAAGACTGCTTGAATTGAAATTAACATTTTAGTATGTGTTTTTTTTTTTTTGCGGAGTTCTGCGAGTTAATGCAATGGGACTGCAAGGTCACTTTGAACTATAAGATCACCAGTTCAAGCTCACCAGCTGCTCCTTGGAAACCCTATATAAAGTCACTATGCGTCTGAACCAACTCAATGGCACTTAAACAACAACTTTATGTAGAAGTATCCTCACCTGTTAATCTCTGGAGTAGGAAAGACTCAAATGATTATAATGTGACTCTAGGTCTTTTCCTTTAGTTCTCTCCTCTTATCTTGGCACTATATAAGTAGTCTTTTTCTGGTTTGTATGATGCCTCTCTCAACTGTAAAAGGGGTGTTATGAACGTTAACATGGAAATAAATATAATCTTAGGACTTGAGTATTGGAGAAAGTGTTGTTGTTGAGTGCCGTCAAGTCGGTTCTGACCCATAGTGACCCTGTATAGGGTTTCCAGGGAGCAGCTGATGAGCTTGAACCACCCACCTTGAGGTTCAAACCAACTTTGTAGTCCAGCACATTAACCCACAGCACCACACCAGGACTTCAGAGGAAGTGTTAAGTGCTGTTGAGTCAATTCCAACCCATAGCAATTCTGTATAGGGTTTCCAAGAAGCAGCTGGTGAGCTTGAACCGCTGACCTTGAAGTTCAAATGGTTTCACACTCTGGTGCATTAACCCACAGCACCACACCAGGACTCCTAAAGGAAGCATTAGGGGCATCTAATCTAGCCCTCGTCTGTTCAATTTAGGAAAATGAGCCCTATGAGATTAAGAGGCTTTCCCAAGGTCACAGCAAAGAGGTTTGTAACAAAAACTAGTCATTGTCTTTTGACAGACTATTGTTTGCTTTATATTATTAACGTTATGGATGGGGTTTGAGGTACAAGGAGTCTTAAAAAAAAAAAAAAAAAGGCAAAATCAACCCAATTGATTTGTCATCATGAGGAAGTTCATTTTTATTAGTACTTGTGTCAGCTGGGCAGAAACAGACCCTTTGTGTAGAATTCAGTAAAAGAGACCTGATTGACTGGCAGAGACAGTGATGAGGAAATTTTTCAATTCAGAAAGAAAAGGTGTGATTATTATACATCCTTCTGCATGTATCTGAAATGACTTTTCTAGCTTTTATGTGCAGCTGTATTTTTAAATTGGTCATTTTGAGAGACTTTTCCAGGGCTGGCAGGAACCAGAGTGTTCACGTTCTGTGCCATTTCCACGTAGTGTAAAATCTCTTAGGGTGGTGGTGTGCCGTCAAGTCGGTTCCAACTCATTAACAATCCAGTGTGTAGGGTTTCCTAAGATCATCATATCTCTTCCATCTATAGCAATGGTTCTCAAATTGTGGTCCTCAGACTGGCAGCATCAGCAGCACCTGGGAACTTGTTACAAGTGCTAATTCTTGGGCCCCAACTAAGACCTGGGAAACTGACTGTGGGACCTAGTCTGTGTTCTCACAAACTTTCCACATGATGCTTTAGATGCTTAAGTTTAAGAACCAGTGATTGATCAAAATAGCATTTCTTGTGCTCAGTTATTCTTCCACTTTTGCCAGGTCTGGTTCTAATCCAAGTTGGAACCAAGCACTTATTACATGGGGTTCACTAGAGCTCATGCAGGATTAGTGGCTCCTTAACAGAGGTACTAATGACAGAGTATCATCAGGCAGAGTAAAAGAGCCACAACACTGAAAGATTCACCTCAGCTTCATTCATACCATCTACTAGACCCTGGAGAAGTAGAACTGAGCGTGACGTGGAAGGTGACTCCAATTAAGAGAGTTTACTCAACTTAAATGAGAGTCCCTTAGGGGCAGCACTCTGTGGAATTGGGGCCATTGAGGCTTTCCTGTCCTTGTTTCTTTCCTTCCTGGCTCTAGCTGCATCCTACACAGATAGTTCTGATGATGAGGTTTCCCCACGAGAGAAGCAACAAACCAACTCCAAGGGCAGCAGCAATTTTTGTGTGAAGAACATCAAGCAGGCAGAATTTGGACGCCGGGAGATCGAAATTGCAGAGCAAGGTAAAGGAAGTAGTGGGTAAGAGACTCAAAGGGGCAGAGGGACAGAAATAGCACCTCTTACTTTAGTGGATCACCAGGACTCACTAAACAATTTAAGGCTTGAAAACTAACTTGAAGAATATCTGGGGAAAGACGCATCCTGGACTTTGTGATAAACACTTCTCTCTGTTTGGAGACTGAGCCTCAGGGTTCTTGTTCTCCCTTCTTCCTGTTCTCTGCATGTGGTAACTACACACAGAGTAGCTTCTCTTTTCTTCCCCCATGGCACCATATTCAAAGAGCTACATTGCAGAATCAGAAAGTCCTGGATCACTACATGGTGGTGAGTTTTGCAGAATCCTACCATACTTGCCAATCACCAAACCATAAACACCCAAGCCCATTATCCTCGAGTCGATTCTGACTCATAGCGACCCTACAGGATAAAATAGAACTGCCCCATAGGGTTCCCAAGGCTGTAACCTTCATGGAAGCAGGCTGCCTCATCTTTCTCCCATGGAACATCTGGTGGGGTCGAACTGCTGACCTTGTGGTCAGAAGCCGAGCACTTCCACTGAATTACCAGAGTACCTCCTGCCATTCGCAGAGACCCAGATTTCTCAGAAGCTATAGACCGAGGAGGATTTTTAAGCTAAAGATATGGTGACCTAGAGTCTTGTTTGGTCCTAAGCTGGAGTAGGAGTACAAGTGATTGACAATGAGTTATGTGGATGGTTTTCCACCCCACCCCCACTAGTGTCTCATTGCTCCCACTTGAAGGCATGGAAGGGAGCAGAGAAACCAAACTGACAGGATGAGGGAAGACAGCCTGTAGAAACAGAAGCAAGTGGCTTCTGCTGAGGGTAAAGCCTTTCTTCTTGGACTGATGATTGCATCTAGGAGTCCTTTAGCCAGTGCCATAAATACTTACCTCTCCTCCCTAAGACTCATTTTCCATTTCGATCCATTTCTACCTTTCATTTTGATATGTTTTGAGAATTTACTTCATTCTGTATTCAGTCTTCTGAAGCAGTAGAAGAAAGAATGATGACTCTCCAACTGTTCTGTTGTTAACCCTGGCAGCCATCATGGAAATATGCTTAGAGTTGTTCTGCCTCATCGCACTTAGCTCAACAGATCCAGGAGAGCCCTAGATGGTGCTTGGGCAGGAATTGGTGATGTGGCTAGTGCAGACCTAGCTCAAATCCTCTGTTCTTTCACAGACATGTCTGCTCTGATTTCACTCAGGAAACGTGCTCAGGGGGAGAAGCCTTTGGCTGGTGCTAAAATAGTGGGCTGTACACACATCACAGCCCAGACAGCGGTGAGTGTGTGGGGAGACGAAAGAGGGACTATTGATAAGGGGACAAAAGAGAACAGCTTCTCCTTAAATTTTTATCATTGTTCTTCCTTCTGTAATAGCCAGCATCCAAATGCTATTAAATGAGACCTCTCTGTTCCACAGTAATGGAGTTCTCTACTTTAGATAATTAAAATCCACTTAGCAAACTTGACTTAGGAAGATATAGATTTGCAAAGTATGGTTGTTATAAAAATGTTATTAGGACTTTTAAATATATATATATATATATATATATATCTTTCAGGTAAAGTTAGGTGCTATTATGCCACCTAATTGGGTTACAAAACTCTCTGTGATTTCCCTCTGTAGTTCCAGAAGTGATGGGTATTGTTCTCTTAGTGGGGTTTGCTTTCCATCCCTGACTGGACCTCCTCTTTCTCACCCTGTCTTCCTACATATCTGGACAGGTGTTGATCGAGACACTCTGTGCCCTGGGGGCCCAGTGCCGCTGGTCTGCTTGCAACATCTACTCCACTCAGAATGAAGTGGCAGCAGCACTGGCGGAGGCTGGTAAGTTCAGCTGTTTTCAGCAACTTGGCTTCAAAATAATTTTTAAAATATAACTTGTGTAGCAAAATTGTCACTACAGTGTCATTTATGTCTAGGGGCTATAAAAACATCAATAAGAAGAGATTGGGAAATAAAATTAATGTAATATTATTATGTAATATTATACAGACATTAAAAATGATGTTGTAAAGAATCTATTGACCTGGGGAATTTCTAATGTTTTGTTAACAAGTACGAATATTGTTGTTGTTAAGTGCTGTGGAGTCGGTTTCAACTCATAGTGACCCTGCACAGGGTTTCCGAGGCTATAAATCTTTATGGGAGCAGAAAGCCTCATCTTTCTCCCGCAGAACAGCTGGTAGTTTCAGACTGCCAAATATTAAACTATATGTTGTTGTTGTTGTTGTTAAGTGCCGTCGAGTCGGTTCCGACCCATAGCGACCCTGTACAGGGTTTCCGAGGGTGTAAATCTTTACGGGAGTAGAAAGCCTCATCTTTCTCCCGTGGAGCGGCTGGTAGTTTCGAACTGCTGACCCTAATTACTTGTGAGTTTAATTAAGAATTAAATAACTCTGTTAAAATGTTCAAAAGAAAGCAATCATGTAATTGGTTTAAGGACCTCCCATCTTCCTGGGATTCTCAGAAAGGGACTATAAAATACTTGTGTTTTTGTTACTCACTTTTTGCTCAGTAAATGTATTTACTGCAGAAAATTTAGGTTCCAGAAAAAATTCATAATTCTACTATACAGAGATCATATTTCACATATTTTCCCTTTTTAAAATTCATTTTTGACAGAGGTGAAATAAATCTTTGAGTGTATATAATTTTTTAACCTAAATAAGAAATTATCAGAGTAGTTTTCTATGTCACTGAAAAAAAAAAGTTAAAAGCATCATCTTTAATACTCATTCACATGGCCATGTGATTTTACTTCACTATTTTTTGAATGTTAAACACTTGGGTTGTCTCAGGATGTTTGCTAATATAAATAATGCTGTACTACTAAGCAACTTTGAGTTCCTACTCATTTTGTCACCTCTTTAGAATAGAGCACTTAATGAAATACTATTTCTTAAAAGAGTAACCTTTTAAGGCTCCAAAATATTTTTTTAATCCCATAGTTTTAACCAAAGTAATTTCTGAACTAAAAGTACTAATGTTTTACTCTTATTAATTATCTCCTTTCCGTGAGAGTTTCTTTGTCCTTTTTCTTTTCCCACGTGTCTCAGAGAGCCATAGCGGAATAGGGCACTCCTTAAAGGAGGAATCAGCTGATTGTTTTTGTCTCTAAAGGAGTTGCTGTGTTCGCTTGGAAGGGCGAGTCAGAAGACGACTTCTGGTGGTGCATCGACCGCTGTGTGAACATGGATGGGTGGCAGGCCAACATGGTAATAACGCATATCTGTGCTGCACTTCTAACAGAAGATTTTCCTTTTTCCCTCAAAGCATGGTTCCCTAAATAAGTTTTGGATGTTTGGTCTTACACTCTGACTTTGTTCTACAGTGTTAAGCTTGGTACCCATTCAGAATGGGCACTGAGTACTGAATGGAAAGTTGGGGGAAGGGTAAAACTCAAAACACGGCAGAATGGATTACAAGGAAATGATGTGGTACCTTTTTGGAGTACAATTTTGTTTTTTTCCTCCCTGCCCCAGCTCTCCTTTTGTTTTCAAAGGAGCCACGTACTTTAAGACTCTAAAGTGAGTCTGATATAAGCCTAATGCTCTTCATTATAGTCTAGAACAAACCTAGGAATCCTTTTAACTATTTTACACCAACAATTTTTACTGTGTATCCACTGTCTAAGCTTGCTCTAAGGAGCTCTAAGAAATGCTCTTCCAAAATGTTCAGGGCTCTCTTCTTAGTGCAGAAATGGGCTCAAAGTTCCCCCCAGCTCTAGCAGCCTGAATGCCCATAGAAGTCTTCTGGCTGTTCTGTAGATCCTGGATGATGGGGGAGACTTAACCCACTGGGTTTATAAGAAGTATCCAAACGTGTTTAAGAAGATCCGAGGCATTGTGGAAGAGAGCGTGACTGGTGTTCACAGGTAACAGATTCTGGAGTAGCTGCCCCTTGTGTCCTTGCCTCAGCAAACCCTTTTTCTCTTGGTTAGGCTGTAGGGCTGTGTTCCAGATGTTTAGTCACTAAATGGGAATATCCATACTAGATAAGACTTTTGAGTTTTTATTGTTTGTAAAACCAAGGTGCCCTTACAATGAAGTTATTCCAAGTTCTAGTTCACATTTTTTGCTCTCCCATTTACTTCACTGAGTGATTCTCAACCAGTGTGGGGAGGTGGGGAGTGAGTGTGTCTTGAAAAAATGGTATTCAATATTGTATTATAATTTTATATTTCAAATATGAAAAAAAAAAATCTATTGTAAAACTATATGTTATACACACATCCTAAAGTAAAACTGGGCAACATATTCTTGGCTTCTAGGGTTACCTAAAAGATAACTGAAAGAGAGTTTCTCAGTTGGGGCCACATTATACATGCTCATTATACAGATACATCCTCGGTCCCATATCAGAATCAATGATAGCCTTTGTTTACTAGAACTAGCCATGGGCTTTTAAAGGTTGATAAATGTTAATGTAAGGAAGTATGTAAGAGAGGCAAATTTCTTTCATTAAAGGATTTTATTTTTCCTTTAAAGAAAAATGAGTTTGGAAAGAAAAGAAAATTTAAATAAGCAAAGTTAACAAGGAAACTGTCTTGTTTACTAATATCCTTGGGCAATCAATAAGGCTCGGGAGGGCAGCTTGGAACTTAAAGAAAATTAGGCAAATTTTGCCACATTTTATGTTGGACCAACTAACTTGGTATGTGTTTGTTTTTGTGGCCTTTTTCCCTTTAGGTTATACCAGCTCTCCAAAGCTGGGAAGCTCTGTGTTCCAGCTATGAACGTCAATGATTCTGTTACCAAACAGAAGTTTGATAACTTGTACTGCTGCCGAGAATCCATTTTGGATGGGTAGGTTGAAATTTATCAAGGTTCAAACATTAAGGGGTATGATTTAGAGTAGGTTGTTGGTCTGATAACACTTCAACCTTGTACCCTGATCTTCCCTTGACATTAGAAGTTTGTTAGAGGGCCCATTTCACACTACCATCAGCCGGCTTCCAAATGAAATTCTCATGAAACATTGCTCCACATTTTCAACTTTGTGAAGAGGGACTGTCTGAGTTTACCACGTTTGAGTTGAGCCCTTGTCTGTTTCCACAGCCTCAAGAGGACCACAGATGTGATGTTTGGTGGGAAACAAGTGGTGGTGTGTGGCTATGGCGAGGTAAATAGCTGGGCCTCGGTGTCTTCTCTCTGTCTTTTCACTAACTTACTAGATAGAAATGTAAAAGAGCCTTGGTGATGCAGTGGTTGAAGTGTTGGCGTGCTAACTGCATGGTCGATGGTTCAATCCTACCAGCCACCCCTAGGGAAAAAGAAGAGTCTATCTGCTCCCCTCCCATAAAGGCTGCCATCTGCAAAACCCTATGGAGCTACTATACTCTGTCCTGTAGCATCACTATGAGACGGAATCAGCTCAATGGCGGTGGGTTTGGTTTTGATTCTTGATTTTTTTTTTACTAGAACTATTGAGTGGTAACCTGTGCCATCAGTCTAGAGGCACTCAGGTAAGGTTTAGAACATGCTTTTAAAGAGTGTATCTCAAAATAGCAAAAACCCTTGTTTTCAAAGTTCTAAATAAGACATACAGAATGAGTTTTGTTTTCAGATTTTCCTAGTTTGTCTTGTGGAGTGGAATCTCAGCATCATTCCCTCCCTCCCCAGCCCTCCCCCAATGATAGCAAAAACCTTTTTATAAGGCTTAATTCAATGAAGTGTGTAGTACGTATATAGCATTTGAGCCCCACAAGGACTTGCTTTGATGTGAAGGGTAGAGTCCAAAGTGGTCTATAGTTGCTTATCTCTATACTAGAATTGATTATATAGAGTTTTATTGTCATCAACAATGACCCATCAAAGTTCCTGACCTACTACCCAAAACCCACTGCCATTGAGCCAATTCCAACTCATAGCAACCCTGTGGGACAGAGTAGAATGATCTGCTCTTTAGGGTTTCCAAGGCTGGAAAGCTGTACGGGAGAAGATAGCCTCATCTTTCTCCTGCTTCATCTGCTAGACTGTTCTTAAATACGTGCATCTCCAGTGAGTGTTACCAGGTTTTTCAAAATTAGAAATTAAGAGATGACAGCTGCTCTTCTTTGCCCTTGTTTCTCTAATGATAAATACCTTTTATTTTCTTGATCTTTCTTACTATCCAAAGCCTTACTATGATATACCTGCTAAATTACCACTTTGACTGAGATCTATAGCATAACCAAGTCCATTTCTATTCTGTCTGGGTTGAAGCTTCCCTGAGTGACAATCACTAGATGCTAAGTGATCTTTCTTTGCTCTGCAGGTGGGAAAGGGTTGCTGTGCTGCTCTCAAGGCCCTTGGAGCAATTGTCTACATCACAGAAATCGACCCCATCTGTGCTCTCCAGGCCTGGTAAGAACAGATTGATCATGCTGTTAGATTCACTCCAGGAACTTTACATTTCTGAGGACTCCTGACTGATCACATTGAACTTTCCTCTCAGAAATCTAGGGCTGCTCTGTTCCCTTCACAGTAATCCTGGCACTCCCCTAGAGCCTCTTGGCATTTCCCTTCCTGGAGGGAGTCTGGAGAGTGTGCAGAGGCCAGTGTGTATAGTTTAGCACAGAGTGTTACTTACCATCCCTGTGATAAGTACTAGATCTGACTTTGAAGAGGATTCAGTTGCCTCATTTTGTGACCAACTTCTGTCCCACTGCCTTCTTGCTTTGCTCATAATGTTGTTTCTTTTTTTTTCAGCATGGATGGGTTCAGGGTAGTAAAGCTAAATGAAGTCATCCGGCAAGTTGATGTCGTAATAACTTGCACAGGTAAGCATCAGTGCTTTGATACATGGAGAGGTGTTAACTTGGAAGCTAACTCTTGAAAAGTGGTTTGAATGACCTAGATACAAAGTAGGTTCTACATTTAGAACTCTCAGAACTGGAGAGTTCCAGCAATCTGTCAGAACCTTAGCATGTCTTCCAGAGCAAGAAGGTTTTGTCCTGGTGACCTTTTATCTTGCTCAATCTTGAACCAAACAACTGAGCCTAAGGAGCAGCTATGAAATAGTCTTCTTTTCCCATAGGGTGCACATTTTCTTAAATGTCAGCAAGCATTCTCTCTTCCATGTTCTTACTGAGAGCCACTTAGTACTGTTGTTTTCCAGTATCTCTTTCTTCAGCTAACCTTCTTTTCTTTTAGGAAATAAGAATGTGGTGACACGGGAGCACTTGGATCGCATGAAAAACAGTTGTATCGTATGCAATATGGGCCACTCTAACACAGAAATTGATGTGGTAAAGATTCTGTTATTCATTTGTTGCTAGGCTTTTCTCCTCTTCTTCCATTATAGCCACAACCTGTTGTGCTCTTTTCCTTCCAGACCAGCCTCCGCACTCCTGAGCTGACATGGGAGCGAGTGCGTTCTCAGGTGGACCATGTCATCTGGCCAGATGGTAAACGGGTCGTCCTCCTGGCAGAGGTACACACTGAGAAAGACCCTGGCAGTGCACCCTGGGAGAGAGGCAGTGAATAAATATTCGGCATAGATTCCATTGAACTTTGTTTTTTGGTTGAGGGATAATTTCAAAATATATCATCCTCAAAAGTTCTGCTTTTTACTAAGAGATTTTCCTTACCACAACCAATTCTTCAGCCTTTCAGAATCAAATGGATTTACAGAAAATAGGATAAAACTTTTGAGTTCTGATCCAAAATATTGTTTTCCCTCTTCTGACTGAGTCTAGAAGGGGGTTAAAAAGTCCTTTCCTACTCTAGACTCATGGAAAGAGAAAGGCTGGGTGCTGGCAGCCAGGAGGCTGGCTTGCAGAATGTGGTTGTTTGAACGATTCCTGAGTGTTTTTGTGTACATAAAAAAAAAAAAAAAAAAGAGGGAATAGAAGCAAATACTGTTGAGTGATGATGCATAGAGGGGATTATAATCATTGTAATGAAACGAAATACGATAGGATGAGTGCGAAACCCATGTTCTCCCATGTAGACTATCACTCAGCATTCAATTCACAATAAAAGCTTTAAAAGAAGAAAAAAGTCCTTTCCTGTCATGCGTGATATTGGACTCTAGACATAGGGATAAGACATCTGATCCCAGGGCTGTCTTACCATTTCAGGGTCGACTTCTCAATCTGAGCTGCTCCACAGTCCCCACCTTTGTTCTGTCCATCACAGCTACAACACAGGTGTGTCACACATCCTTGCTTCTCATGTACTGAGATTGATGGGACTGGGCAGAAATACGAGTTCCTGTGGTGGTGGTGGTGGGGAGGAGGGAGGTTGGGACCTGTATGAAGTGATGAAGTGAGCACCATGCTATGTATTCTTATCAACCTGGTCTGTTGTCAAGACTGAGGCTTCTTCAAGTACTGAAGAAAGGAAGTTGCTGTCACTCTGGTAGATCACTGTAGTACTTACTATGAAGACCCTTTTAGGCCTACTTGTTTTTATGCCTTTGTCTAGGAAGTATTTCTTCTGTTTCTGACCCTCGCTTCCCACCCTAGGCATTGGCACTGATAGAACTCTACAATGCACCTGAGGGACGATACAAACAAGATGTGTACTTGCTCCCTAAGAAAATGGGTGAGTGAAAAACAATAGACACCTATACTGATCATCCGACAGCTGTGTCATATGGTAAAAGAATATCATGAAAAGCATGGACTTTGCAATCAGAGTCCTAATCCCAGTCTTAGATTTTTGGTGGTTGTTTGATCTCAGCACAATCTCCATAAGTCTCCATTTCTTATCAGTCAAGTGGAAATACCAATATGTACACTGAAGAATGGTTTTAAGAATTACAGATGACAAGTAAAAGTGCGTAGCTTAGAGTAGACACCCTTATACTATAAAACCTTATGAAATTTTTTGAACTGACTTGGTTTTCCCAGTGCAAGGAAACATAGCCTTGTTTCTCTCAAAAAGAGAGAAACAATTGCGTATTTCGTTGTACATCCTCTGTGTAAATATGGAAACCACCGCTTACTCAACCTCCTATAGCTCCAGACACAGCCCTGTTTTGTTCCTATTACATAAGGTATTATCTCTACTTCTTTACTTTTCCAAACAGTGATGCCTGCCTTGCATCTAGTTGGTCAGCCGAAATCCCTGCTTGCCCTCAGTTCCTCCCACAGCTTGCCTCAAATGGTTTTAAAATACTTTGTTGTTGTTTTTATAAAGGCTTATCTGTTGAAGGGGTCCTGGTGTGGCGCTATGGGTTAATGCTCTGGACAGCTAACCACCAGGTTGGTAGTTCAAACCTACCAGCCACTCCTCGGAAATCCTATACCAGATCACTATGAGTTGGAATCAACTCATTGTCACTTAACAACAACATCTTTGGGAAAGAATAAATTTATGCCAACCACCTCAGAAATCTAGGATCCTAAGATCTGAGGTCTTTATGGATCTCTTCCTGTTAAATAAATGTAAATGACACAAGGCTATTTTGAATTTCCTGATATCTACTTTGGTTCATAATCTAACTATAATTTAATCCAATGAAAGGGGTTGCTGTAGAGAGGTTAGGATAGTATATATGTGACGTGTTGGCTTCTGAGCTGATGCCAAAAGCTATGCCAGAGGAGAAGGGGACAAAGTTCACCCTATTTTGTTAACGCTGGTAAGTGAAATGTACTTTGAATTTACTGAGAGAATTTCCTTACCAGAAAGGCAGCTTTGAGGGATTTTTTTTTTTTTCATTGACTATTTCAATTGTGAATTCTTTCAAAGAGTTATTCTAGCCATTGTCCACACTCACAGAAAAACTTAAGGTGAAAAAGAAAGGTGTATTTGAAATGTAGTCCTCTCCCCTGCCACTTTGTTCTTCCTAGATGAGTATGTTGCCAGTTTGCATCTACCATCATTTGATGCCCACCTGACAGAGCTAACAGATGACCAAGCAAAATATCTGGGACTCAACAAAAATGGGCCATTCAAACCCAATTATTACAGGTAATTTCTTCCCTGTTTTTCCACAGGGTTCTTCTGAAAGGCTCTTTTCCCTAGTATTGATCCAAGCAGTCTAGCCACTTTTCTTAAATAAAGATCAGGTACAATACCTGATTCTGGAGAATGCAAGAACTCTTTTTCAAAGTAACAAGGTTGGCAGCAAAATTGTATATCCAGCAGCAGATGTAAATTACAAGTTTTTGGAAGTTTTAGAGCTTGGCCCTCACCCCCCAGAGATTCTGATACTGTTGGAGCAAGATATAGGGCCCGGGCAAAGTTATATTATAAAAGCTATCCGGATTATTTTAAAGTATGGGCAGGGCCGAAAACCTCTGAGTTATATTATCAAGGAGCAGGAAATAGAAAATCAGAGATGGCATCATCCAAACCCTAGGAGAAACCAGGAAAGAATGCTGAGCTCACTGACAGCCTGGGGAATGATGGCAGGGGTCCCCAGCCTGGGCCCTGGAGTGACCATGGAGAATGTGCTGCTTCTGAAACTTCTCTTAGAACTCACAGGTGCTAACCAGTTTGTCTCTTTCTGTACAGATACTAATGGACCATGTTACCAAGGACCAGTCCACACAAACCACCCAAGTCTAAAAGAAATTTTTTAAAGATAATTTTTATTTTCTTCTTATTCCTTTCCTCTTTTTTTAAAAAAAAAAATTGTTTTTTTGTTTTGTTTTGTTTTTTGTTTTTCTTCCCTATAATTTCATTCTTCCTTTTTCATCTCATTATCCAAGTTCTGCAGACCACACAGGAACTTGCTTCATGACTCTTTAGATGAATCTGAAGTTCAAGATTCCTCACCCTAGTCACTAAAGAAGGATTTTACTCTCTCAGCCTAGAAAGGTGATTCTCTCTTTACCAATTCTGGCTTGGGTTTTAGTCTTAATTGGGTACCATATTAACAGGAAATGCTAAGGTACTTTCTGTATGGAACAATCTGCAATGTCTAAATTGCCTTAAAAGAGCCCATTTCTTAGCTGCTGAAATCAGTGCTCTTTCACTTCTCAGAGGAGCAGGGGTGGTTCCTTATCAGCCAGGTAGGTTAGACATAGGTGGTGCATGTCCATTTCCCTTTAAAGTTCCAAGCCCTGTTTCCTATGTAAAGTTGGTATGTCTGGTTCAGAGATGCGTGCATACTAGTGAGTGTTGTTTGTTAAGCTCCAATAGGTCCACTTGGATTTAGTACAAACCTTCTGTCACTCCCACCCTATCCTCATTTTTCTAGTTTTTAATCAGACTGCACTTTATCATTAAGTTGAATTTTGTCCCCTGGCATTTGTTATTTCTGTTGTACAAAATAATAATAATAATAATACCCCTTTAAAGAAAATGTTTAGTGTTAACACTGAGGAATTGCTTGGGGGTTGGTTAGTTGTTACCAGTTTCTATCTGAAACCTTTGGAACTAAGAGTGCAGAGTTGAATCTAGTGAAATGCTGGCCTCAGACTCTGATAAGTCCCTCTGTTTCTGCATCATCATTTATAGCATCACTGAACTGGGGCCATAACAGCAAATTCTATCAGCCCTGCCCCATGCAGCTTATGCTGAAGGCAAATTTCCTAAGCCACTACTGAGTAGGCAGCACTGAGCTCTATCTTTAGGATTTATCCTTTAATATAAGAGTTCATTTCTGGTCAGCTATGCTTCTGCAACCTAAAATATTTAAAGAGATTTAAATCTTGGTTAAACGGATGGGAGATGGGAGGATAAATTGGCCAGGGTGTGAAAGGAAATCCAGCTTTGTGTAATTTGTCTGGGACTTCAAGCCCTGTGTAACATTCGTTTTACAGAAATGGTACCACTTTTGACTGATACAAAGTAATCAGGAGGTCCTGGCTCATCATGCTCTGGAAAAATCCCCAGAGAGGTTCTCTCAGAGATCAGAGAGGTGCGTTCCCATGCCATGCACCCTGCTTACCAGCATCTCTGCATGGTCAAATGAGCTTTATTCTGCTCATGAGCTTTAACTATATAAATATCCAGGAGTCTAAGTCTTCAACTTGTTCTAGCTTGTGACCCTTCAAAGCTGGGTCAGGTGTTAGTGCTAGGTACTAGAAATTTTCATTTCTTGATTGCCACTGCTCAGAGAGACAGATGTTGAAAACAGGAATATAAGAAAGGAAAGATTTCACCTGTAGCTTCCTAGCAGGGGACAGTTGTCTTGCCAAAACTTTTTCTCTTTACTTGCCTTTTCTCCCCACCCAGTCCCTTCCCATTCCTTGCCAGTATAACTGTGCTTTCTTCTCTGTAGACGATAGCAATTCAAACTTTCCCACACACATACCTCCCCCCACCCACCCCACCCCGCCCTGGGCATTTAACCACCCAATCAGAACACCGTGTCCATTACGGAAGTAACCTGGCCAACAGTGTATCTATCACATCAGCTCTGCTGGAGGGAAGGGCCCAATCCTGCCGCTCTCTGGCCTGCCCCTGCTCCCATATCTATTACTGTGTCCATAGGAATAATAGGTAAGGGCTCCGTCTCTGTCAAGCCATGTAACAAAAGACACTATGGAAGAATGTCTGACATCAGAGGGAGCGTGTGGAGAGCAACTTGGGAGGAACAAGTTTTTTTTTTTTTTTATTGAATGATTTTTAATGAATGCAATATTAATCCTTGCAGATGAGCAATAATCATTAAAGTCAATTAAAATGATAAGACCTTATAGGCCATCTGTGTCATTCTTGGTTAAACGGTGAAACTGTAAGAACCTGTTTCCTAGGGTGGGACAAATCATGGGTCAGTGTTTAATAAAGGAACAGACTGGATACAGAGTTCTTCAGTCACATCTGTGGTTTTGATGCCTGTTCTGTTTGTTGCCAAGTACTGGGCCTAGGCACATTCACTCTAACTTCCTCCAAGGAGAACTTTACTACTTAAGCTTCAGGGTTTCTTCCTTGCACAGTGCTTTTCCCTTGCCCGCAATTAGGCTGTTAAGTGGGGCCAAGCAAGCTAAGTGTCCCCAGGATGTAAAGCCTGCTGTAGAGTGGTCCACATGGGAGCTAGGGGTGTGGCCTGGGTTAGGGATTCACACCCCAAGTATGATGATGAGGACATCCATGCAGAGGTCAGGGTTTGCAGCATTTAAGAATAATGGGAGCCAGATTTCTTATTTGGGGCGAGAAGTGTTACAAATTGGCAAAGGAAAGACTAAAGTCAACTCTGGTGTTAAGTTCGAAATGGAGGTTATCAGTGCAAACTTGTAAATTTCAACATAAAGAACTAAAGGTGTGTGTGTGAGTGAACAAATATTGTATGAACTTTGGAAGAGCAGCCCTCTCCTCCATTGCATTGTGCACACACAGCATTCAGACATATGCACCACAAAGGTGCTGACACCCCTTAGAGAAATGACTGCCTCGCTGGGCCTGAAAGGACAAATATGACATGAGACCATTGTAAAAAGTTAAGAAAAGATTTTCTTGCTAAGTGAAACACTCTATAATGGTTATAGGGCAGAGGGAGGAGGGAAGAGGATGAAAAAGTGAATAGAGGTGAATATTTGTGGACTGCAATCATTGTAATGACACGAAGTATATAATTTGTTGAATGTGGGACTGGTGGTCTGTTCTAATAAACCTTCACTCAATTCACAATAAAAAAATTTTTTTTTTTTTTTAAAGAGTACAAAATAAGCCAGAAAGCAAAAAAATACTCAGAAATTATGAGGGGATATGTGTGTTGAAAGAACATAAACCAGCTTTAAGAGACTTTCACTGGGAAAATCTGGGATAAATTGGGCATCAAAATAAATAATATTAACAGTCTATGACCCATTGAATAAAATATGGAACTAGACGTCTTTAAGGAGCTCTGGTAGCACAAATAATTAAGCACACTGCCACTAACTGAAAATTTGGCCATTTGAAATCCAGTGGCTCCACAAAAGGAACACCTGAACATCTGCTTCAAGAAAGATTTCTATAGAGCAGTTCTACTCTGTCACATGGGGTTGCCATGAGTAAGAAATCAACTCAGTAGCACCTACCAGTAACGTGTCTATACTGATATGCGGGAGAATGAAAAGCTTTCTGCTCCCACAAAAATTTAAAGCCTCAGAAACCTTGCACAGAGTCGCTATGAATCTAAAACCAACTCCACAGCACTTAACAATAATGATGTTGTTATTATTAGGTGCCATCGAGTCAGTACCAACCCATAGCGACCTTATGCACAGCAGAACGAAACACTGCCCAATCCTGGGCAAACCTTTCTACTGTTGCCACACTTGAGTCCATCGATACTGCCACCTGGCCAATACATCTTGTTGGGGTCTTCCTATTTTTTCTCTGTCCCTACACCTTACCAAACATGATATCCTTCTCCAGTGACTGCTCCCTCCTGACAATATGTCTGAAGTATGAGAGATGAAGTTTGGCCATCTTGGCCTCCA